ATTTGCTTCCTTTCTAATAACTTCAGAGACAGGGTGAACTCACTCCCCACCACTTAACCTACCTCCCCAAGGCCTTGCCCTTCCCGACTCCTCTGCGGGCTTTAGAGGCCCCAGGAAAAGGACCTGTCCTATTTACCTTGCGGGGCTCCTTGTCCTCCTGTGGCCACACCTGCGCTGCTTCTGCTGCTGCGCTCTGATAAGGTCAAGCAGACGTTCTGCTTGCAAATTATAACTCGGATTGGCCAACCTGAATTAATTTCCTTTTCTCTGCCTATAGGAAGCAATGGCCTTTGGGAGGGGCCAAAGACAAGTTATAACAGAGTCCCTTGGACTTTCTCCCCAGGAAGTGGCTTTGGAGGGGGGGGTGTGTGGAACTGTGGGAACCTTGATGAGAGAAAACACGGAGAAAGGGTACATACAAGAAATGGCACTGGGGGCTTTAACAGACGACAGCCACACACAAGCCCGCAGACATTTCCTGCACCTAATTCCTGCCAGTACCCCCAGGCCAGAGGGCTGCCTCCACCGAAAGAGCGCCCCTTATCGGTTCAGCTATCCATGCAGTAGGCTCAGGATGTGCCTGCCACTGCACTGGGCCCAGCCCAGCTCATCCTCACAAGCCAGATCAGCCCCACTGTAGAGAGGGCGGAAATGAGGAGAGGCCACTCCGTAGCTGAACTGCAATTTATTCTCAGAAAACTAAACTCTTAATCCTTAATGAAACAGTCTCTCGAGGCATTTTCTCTCTTCATTTGAATTCACATCATTGTACTTGCTGTCTCTACCATTGATTGCCTGCAGGCCCCCTTGTCTTGTCACAGTGCCGCGGAAAACTTGTCCACGCCCTGGGCTAGCTCTGGTGAATGTAAGATGTACACAGCCGGCAGTCTCATCCTTAAAACAGCACCTCTCAATGTGCTTGGACTGCAACGTACAGGAAGAAAATACTTCACATCAACAACCAGTGTGTTCATTAACTGCACAACATATATATAAAACGAAGAGTAAAAAGCGTTTCACAAAACCCTTAATTTTTTTTTAACGTGCAATGTATTCTGATCATTTTCTCTGGTATATTCTATTTAATTCTAACTGTTGTTTTGACTTACAGTTCAAATGAAAACAGTGCCCTTGAGACAGACACCCCCACATTCAAAGGGGAGATAGATATGAGTAATAATAAAAATAATGATCGCAAGAGTAGCCCCATTTCAAGAAACTCTTGAATGCCCGTCGAGCACTCTGATAGGTATTTAAGCTGCACCACTTTTTGTAGCCAACCTCCAAGCCAGGACTGATGTACGCCTCCAACGTCCTTTGTCTCCCCACACCAGACTGTCGGGAGACGCCAAGTCGCTGGCGGCTGGAGGGGCAAGGGCGCAGGCAGGAGGCTTCACAAAAGTCACAGTGTCTCGGCCGTCGACACACAACCTTCCCGCTTCCAGGGTCTGGGATCATAGGAATAGGGCATTTTCCGGAAATGTTTATCCCCCCTCCGCCAACAGACCATGAGCTCCTATGGTTGGACTATAAATATCTGTGGATGACACCCTTCTCATTTGCTTGCGATGTTGAAAAACAGCTTGCTATTTTTAGAAATAAATCTGCATACATGTAAGCTGCTGCTGTCTCTCCCAGTAGAAATAAGGTACACGGCTGCATGTCACTTTTTTTCAAAGGAGGGGGTTGGCTTAGAGCGTGGTCAAAGAAACGTGGACCAGGACTAACTGTCGGGAGACCAGGGTCGCAATCCCAGTTCTGTCACTGAATGTCTGGGCATGATTCTTGGCAGCTATGAAGGGACAAATCTTCACAATGGTGGTTAGAACAGACTACATGATCAATACGTTTCTTTGCAGGACTAACAGTTTCTGTGAGTTCATAAAAAGGAGTAAATCATTATAATAAAAACTACCAGGCCATGAGGATGAATGAATATGAAGCTCCAGGACTCAGCCCCTGGGTCTTGGTCTTAGCCGATGCCCTGAGCTACAGGCAGAAAGGAAGACTCACACCCGATAGCCTGACATGCTGTCTTTTCCTCTGCCTAGACCTAGACCTCCGTTTGAGGAACCCTGGGGGCACAATGGTTACGAGTTGGTCTGAGAACTGCAAGGCAGCCTCTCCGAAGGAGAAAGACGAGGCTTTCTATTCTCATAAACCATCTCAAGAGCCCACTGCGGCCATTCTGCTCTGTCCAGCAGGGCCGCTATGAGTCAGAATTGACCTGAAGGCATGAGTTTGGTTTGGGTTTGGAGCTCAGTTTCCTCATCTGAAAGGCCAGTAATGGGACACCATAAAAGCTACATCGGTGCCTTTCAGGGAAGTTTCACTCCCCACATTCTGCCATTTTTCTCAGTACACAAAAAAAGTATAGCCCTTGGGCAACTCTGGAAGGAGGAACAAAATACTGAAGGGGTTTTCTGCCTTTCCATTATCACTCACTCTTTTCTGTTCCTCTGCCCCACGGCACGCACCACCAGAGAGCTCTTCGACACACTCACTTGCCTGCTCTTTGGGCAGGAAGGAGACGGAGCCAAGGAAAGTACCACCTGCCTAACAGTGGGGGCCCGGTGTTTTCACATTGGAGAAACATCTCAGGAGGGTGTGAAGGGACTCAGCAGAATCCAAACTCAAGGTAGCCACTGGTTTCTCAGGGCCAAGAGATGAACAGCGGTGGTGCTGTTGAGTCAACGCTAACCCCAAAGTTGGAGGTTCAAGCCTACCAGCTGCTCCTTGGGAGAAAGCTGAGGCTATCTGCCCCGTAAGATTGACAACCTCAGAAGCCCTATAAAGCAGGAGTCCTCAAACTGCGGCCCGCAGAGGACATTTATCCGGCCCGCCGGGTGCTTTTGCCCCATTTGTTTTTTTACTTCAAAATAAGATATGTGCAGTGTGCATAGGAATTTGTTCATAGTTTGTTTTTTCAAACTATAGTCCGGCCCTCCTACGGGTTTGAGGGACAGTGAACTGGCCCCTGTTTAAAGGGTCACTATGAATCTGAATCCACTCGATGGCAGTACACTTAGGTTAAGCAAAAAGTTGTGAACTAGTTTAAAAAAAAACAATAGATAAAAACTATTCGAGAGTGTGAAGAGTCCCCCGCAAGCTGCTGGAAGCCAGATTAACCTGCGTGCCTCTCACCTTCAGCAGACCCAGTACTTTAGTCTCCAAAAGATGGTGGGAGACAGGCCACCTGAAAACCCAAAGAAGGCAGAGGCTAATCATATTTTTCTTTTAATTTTTTCAATCATGAGTTAGGTATCGGTTTACATTTCAGATCATCAACTTTGTGTTCCACAGTCTAAACGATTAATCAAATCCCTGACAGTTTACCCCTCCCACGACCACTGATTTCCCTTCTCCCTCCAAAGGATCCCCCATCTTCCACTACACCCAGGTCAACACTCTTCAACCGCTCACTCTAGCCCGCTGGTCTGTCCTGACAGAGGCTAACTGAGAAGACAGCCCTTCTCACCTGCCGCTGACTTACCATGCCCCTTCCTCTCCAGGAGGCTTGTTCATGACCTCTGCCTCGCAAAGAAAGCCTC